ACCAAAATCCTTCTATCCATCTTGAAATAGACTAAGGATATGCAGAACTCTTCGAGTGATCACGGAGAAGAACAAAGTTTAAACTTAAATGGGTATCCGTAGATATAAATTATATTTATGGTCCAGGTCTCATCGCAACTCTTGATCTTTACTCAAGGATATGAGACTGCTAATAGACATTTATGTCTAGCAATGACGCGAGCTAGAGCGTAATTTCTCATTGTGGAATCCAAGGGAGCAAACTGCAGATATGATACCAGTTACGTAGTGAGGTGGGGGACTATTCTCAACAACTGTCAGTGGTGTCCCCTACGAACCTCCAGCTCTCACTGTAGAGTCTGCGGAGCCGAAATTGAATAACAAAGTCCTCACTTCCATGAAAATTCCCAATCGCTATCGCCGTCTGTATCGTCTCTATCTCTCAACACATTTCCCTATTACCATTATCATGAAGCTAACCACGATCAGATGAGATGGTAGGGTCGGAGCCCTACTCATCACCAAACTTTGATCACGGAGGAAAAGCCATCCGATGAGTTTCCGGAGCGTACCCAGCACCCGATACGGAGATGGTGAATTGGATCAAGTCGGCCTCGACTGTTACAAAAAAGGGAGATATTGATGAATATGCGCACCTCATGTGGTCCCGGTGACTAGGCGTCGCCTGGCTGGGACTGCAGCTCCTTTAAGACTTTTTCCCGCGCACGCAGTTTCCATTGCTACCATTTCTATTTTTTGTGTAGAAGGTTCCATGGAAATAGTGACTGAACTCCACGCGTAAATATCGAGCTGAATGGCTATCCATCACGGGTAATATAACAGAGATGCTTCGAGCAATAAAATAGGGTGAGAGCATTGTATGAGGTGTGGCCTGGATCAGAGAGGAGCCCAACGTGCGAGAATTTCATAGATTCAATCAGTACTATAAGAACAGACACGAGGAAATTTTGTAGAAAAAGCCAAAAAGTCTGTCGCAAGAGTGACGCATCCATTCACTCACCGTGCATGTTTCTTTCTCTCTCTGACGGGGAGTCGAACCCCGGTCTCCCGCGTTGCTGCTGACAAGCGGAAATCATAACCGTTAGACCATCAAAGATTGCTTGCGAAAGACGAAAGCATATACATTTATATAATGAAATTACAGACGCATCGCGTCTCATTTAATAATTAATATGCATACGGCTATTATGCTTCGATACTTCTAGCATCGATGAGTCAGCGGCACTCATCTACGCCCTAGATGGCACAAGAGGAGTTGGGCTTAGCTACTATAGAGCAATCACGTTTTGTCAAGACTTTTCTTACATTTCAGCACGAGCTCCGAAAAGTTAGATGGAGGCTAGAAAGGCAGGGAGTCAAATTCCAGTGCTACAGTTCAAGAGTTGTTTAAGTTTAGGTGAAAAGCAAAGCGCATTGCTGAGGACTCTGATGATAAGACTGTTGGCGAACGATAGACAAGTCTCAGAGAAACAGTGCTGACATCCATGGGATCGAAGCAGTGTTATACCACAGAGAGTATGGGCAATACGTAGCCATGCGGTAATTTTTCAATCAAAGGAAGAGGTCTAAGTAACGATATTCATAGAGTGGACTGAATGTTATAAGTGCCTTGTAGATGTAGTCGGATTTCTCTTCTTCATAGAGTTTACTAAATCGATTTATTCATCACCAACTCGGTTTCCGTCACATCCAGAGGTACCCACAAGTCTGCAGCGCCCAGCTGGCCGGTCTCTTCGAATTCTTTAGAGTGGTCACTATATCTTCGGATTTGGTCCTAATGCCGGTATTAGAAGAGCCCCGCACCCAGTGGTTTTCGCGATTTTTCCCGGCTGCCATACACTCGCAAATGGCCATCGTTTCGTTGGCTGGAGAGGAGAGACAATGAAGGGTTAAGGGCTCCTCTGAGTGTATGATCGAATGAGAACTTGTGAGGGATGGTACTGTTTGAGGGGAGCTGTATGGGAGGCATAGGAGGGGATATACTAATGTCTCAGGGATGAGGGTTTGACGGTGTTCCACGGGGTGCGTTGTATAGCCTAGTGAAGATCTAGGTGGTAAGTGAAGATTATAAATGGGTCAAAGGGATGACAGGTCTTCTCTAGGAAGAGATGAATGGGCAACTAGTTGCAGTAGATGTTACACGTGGGTCTTGCTGATGAAGAACTGGGCAATGGATATATGGTCTTCCCGAAGAAGAGATGGGTGAACAAATGTATTGTAAAGGGTAAATAAAGAAGACGTTGCGTGAGGAGTAAATCTCTCTCACGCCGAACTATTATATACAAGAGTAGAAGCCTTTGCCAACCGGAATTAATCGTAATCAATTCTTGCCAATATCTTCGCATTAATGGCTGTGTTCTTGTCCTTCTCTTCATGACTCTCTTGCATATCCTTACATGACTTTTTACACGACTAATTGTATAGGGGAAGCTATTATTAAATTGATGGTTTTAATTAACTACCCCTTCATCTTATCACGAATTAATATTAGTATTAAAATTCTATTTACGGATCCGTGAAATAATGGCATAGGTATCATTGGTCTGTAGGAAGAGAGGACCTGCATGTCCTACATTGTCATAGACCAGGACAGGTTAATAAAAAGAAAAATTATTATAATTGTTGGTCGGTTATATACACGTGTACGCGTACGCAGTGGGTTTCTCTTTGATGTGGTGGTTCTTGTTCTACTCACTTGCGGGCGTGTCTGCCATATGGGCGACACGGCGAACCGCACTAAGTCATGTGACCACTGCCTACTCACAAAACAAACTCCCATACCTGCCGGGTGACCACAAACCTACTTCGGCTTTGAGGATTCCTCATTGATATTACAATAATAATTGCTACACAGTATATACACGTTCGCACCTATCCCATTTGAGACAGGAGAAAGCTGGTTCGAAACCAGTAAGACCCACCCACCACACTCTCTCGCATAGATATTGTACTTGTGAGACGATGAAAGCTCACTCGGGTAGCCACAGGTTTTTCACGCTTTTCCCTATGGTTGGCATGCACGGAAGAGGTTTCATGCTGTAGGGGTTAGCCTCGAGTGGTATCTGCAAATGAAATCTGAGTATGAGTGTTAATGTCAAATTGAGTCATCCTACTCAAAAGTACATATCTTCCGGTAAAAACCTGCATGGGCCTTAAGGCGCCAAATCAGGACAATGAATTATTTATTTCTTTATATACACGTTCGCAATTTACTACTAGACTCTTCCCAGCTCGAACTTGCAAATTTGGGACAAAAGGAAAAGGACACCAGACGTATTCGATGAACTGGATACGCCAGAGATAACTGGCTAATACACACCTTTCTGCCTAAGGCCTGGAATCCTCTCGTGAGAACCCACACAAACAGAAGGGCGGCACACACATTTCCCTCCAATCTGGAAGCCTTGCGAGAAAATACAAATTCATACATTTCAGCGCTATATCCACCCGGAGGATTCGCCTCCCAGGTTTGTGTCTTCCTACCGGTATTTAATTTGATATGAGCTTGACTTTGAGGGCTAGCTTGGAACAGAGACTATCTTGATAGGAGATAATAAATATCAGAATGTACTAGCTATTCATAGATTTAATAAGGTTTTAGCCTGAATTGATCTCATGAGTGAAAGAAGGACATGGTAGGAAATTTTGTATCATTGCCTTGACCTAATTCTTCATTATAGCAAAGGGGGACTATTCTCAACACCTGTCAGTGGTGTCCCCTACGAACCTACAGATCTCACTGTAGACTCTGCAGAGCCGAGATTGAGTAACACCTTATCAACTTTGAGCTGAGTTATCTCCCCCTCTGTCAAAGATACGCTTCCGATAACACACAAGACGATGATGATGATGATGATGCTGGAAATAAGGAAAGATACTGCGGTACCAAACGCTACAACGGTAGTCAGAGAAGCCCTCGTTATATTACAACATGTGCTACCCACCGGCGTTCAAACAAAAAGCCCACGAAAGCAAAGTAAAAGACCCTTCCGCCCTCAAGAAAAGCAGATTTCGACTCTTCAAAAACATCGTTCCTACTAATCTATACCTCCCAATCTGCTAGCCAGGAGGGCATCTGAAATACATGAGTTACTCGATAACCTCATGCCCGTAACGACTTTTGGATGCTAGGCTAGGCTCCTTCACGACAGTCACTCTCGACCAAGACTTTTCTGACATCCTTTCACGACCTTCGGTTTGTCCTGCGGCATGAATCAAGAGAGGTGTAAGGAGGAGGCCAGGAAGGTTGAGAGACGCTCTTAGGTATACACAGGTCTGCTGCGCGCGGCTGGCCGGCCTCTTCGTCATAGGAGAGCCCCGCACCCAGTGGTTTTTGAGAATTTTCCCTGCAGCTACACACCCACAAATGGCCATCGTTTCGTTGGCTGGAGAGGGGAGATAATGACGGAAAAACGGCTCCTCTTAGTATGTACTCGAACGAAGACCTGTGGGGGTATTACTGCTGGAAAGAATTCGTGAGGGAGGCAAAGGAGGGAGTACACTATCCGAGGCATAGATACTCCCGGCCTGTAGGCAGAAAGGACCTATATGTCCTTACATAGTTATGGACTTTTTAGGACAATAAACAACCACTCACCACTCATTATAGCAATATTTAACTGAAATTTATCCTTGAAAGACAGTTCTTAGTTACGTAGATTTCGGAGACAAGTGTTCAGACCTTGTACCCTGATCCTGCATCACACAAAGATAAATTGAGATTTTACTGTATGAAAAATAATTCATCATGCATGGCTGGAACACACATAATTAACACGAAAAACAACAATAGTATCCAAGTAGATCAAATTAGCTAATCGCGCCCAAACACTGACTTGATTAGGACACCAGTAGCTAATAAATATCGTCCACATACGGAACTACTGTATGTATTACATCCTGCTTTTTCTGCATTATTACTATCCAGGTTAAAAATGACTTTTAATTACGATTCCATATGCCCAAAAATTTTTAAATGTGATAAGGTTGACTTCATTTTCCTAAAGACCGATGATAGACATCGTTCCGTAGCCAACAGTGATAATGATGGTAAGGGTCACAATACTGGCAGGAATGCCCCGGCTGAGAAAATGATCAACCTTTAAGTACCTTTGGCCTGTCTGAGGGTTTTCCATCATTATTGCCGCTAGAAAACTTGTTAGCTTCGTAGAGAAGAACGGCTATAGAAATAATCGAGATAGGAAATTACTGCAGTTAAAGAACAGCACTTACTCATGTTTGGAAAGCCGGATGTGGGTAGACCCATCGCTGCACTACAGGTGAGAGCGCAACCCATAACTAAGAGATTTGGGTGAGGATCCGTCATGTTCATGCCAACTTTATGGACTAGTGGTAGGATAATTAAGGCTGCCACAGTGTGACTAATAAACGTCGCGACACAGAGCGTAAGAGTTATGAATACTACGAATATGCCATAGGTTGAGAAATTTTCGACACGCTCAGTAATCTGACCAGCCACGGTATGGAGCAGACCCGATGAGCTAACCGCTTTTCCAAGTGAAAGACCACCGGCCGCCAGAATGATGATGGTCCAAAGGAAATTATTAAAGTCTTCCTTGCTGAGGATACCGGAGCCGAAGAAAAGAACAATTGGAAGGATTGCAATGACACCCATATCTCCCAAAATCCATTGCAACTGGTGACTCATGCACCAAAGAACTATAGTGAATAGCGTAGAGATTGAGATAAACCACTGGATGCCTGTAAACTTATCTTTGACTGAACGAATGGGCACAATCGTTGTTCCATTGGATGGACGGAAAGAGACTAGAAGGATGAGCCAGATCAGAAAGATAGAAATTATTCCTATGGGAAGAGCTACAAAAAACCAATCCCCCCAAGATGGGGGGGGTTCCATGATCTGTAGTCCAACGATGTTTTGAGGAGAGGCGATAGGCGATAGCATACCGCCGATATTTGATGCAAGTGCAATACCTAGTAAAAGCGCTTTCGACATTTGAGACTCTGGAGGAATATTTCGTAGTAAGGGCTGTTATCAGTGTTAGCCAGCCTAGCGTATGACCATATAGAAGATAAAATTGGAGTAAACACACCTGAATTATGGAAAAGCATAGAACTGGGGCAGCAACATTGCTTATCCACATACTCGCAAATGCAGCAACAAACATATTGGTGATGAGGACCACGTTTGGGTTATTTCCCGCTTTGCTTAAAACAAATGTCGCAATTCGCCTGGCTATGTCGTACTTGGATAAGGCTGCAGCGATCGTGAAGCCCCCCAATAAAAGCATAATAACTGGAGTCCACATAGCAGCAAAAATAAATTTAGTTGCATCACTAGGGTTCAACCGGTAATGTGGTACCTCATCTGAGCGTACAATCCTCAGCACAACACATAGGAACGGGATTATTAAAGCTGTTACGAACAGTGGAATGGCCTATTTTAATCAGCGAATTTCCGTAGTAAGCACTATTGTCAACGGACTTCAGTAGCCCATAGTAAACTGACAAATACCAACATGGCGAGACAGTTTTGCTCCTCAATCTGGAGATTCATCGGTAGACGGAGTAGTATGATAAAGATGAGTACTATGGCGATGAGGAAAAGGAAGGAAGAGTTCATTAGCACTTGCGGAAGATAAAGTCTTCCATATCGTGTCATGAACCCTTGTTTAGAACCTAACACATCATCATCGCCCTGTAATCGAGCAAAATCCGGGCGATTATCTACCCCAAGAATAGTTCTCCGGAGGCCCAAATGAACAGCCTGGGCCTTACGCTCTAGGCCAATCATTTCCCGCCAAACAGTGTTTCTTTCCCATACAACATGCTGGCGTAGGTTTAAGCGAAGTTCTTTCTTGGCTAGAGATAGGTCGCCATTTGTGACTAGGTTTGCAAATATCTGCTCAACTACCTCAATTTTATTCTCTATATTTTTTGCTGTTGACGGTAAAAATGGTTCTGTAGCGGATACATAAGTGCTGATATAATCGTCCTTTAGATTTCTATTCATAATCTTGTCATATTTTTTCAAGACTTTCACAAATCCGGTCTTGTTGAGCTGTACAAACGATTTTAACTCACAAAGCTGAACAAAGAGACTTATAGTACGTTTTTTCAATGTATTTCCTGCCGAGTAAAAAAGAGAATCTGATTCGAAATCATCATCACTAATCTGACTGAGCCGACGATTAAATCTTAAGAATTCAAAAGACTCTTTCCTGCGATGACGATTCTCGGGTCTGCTGTGTGATGGTGAATCATAGGGGAGCGACCTTCTCCTTTCTGGACTTTTGTTTTTAGACTTGAGCAGAGCTGTATTATCATTGCTTTCTTCACTATATTCTGTTCCTTCGTCAATCGACTCACCTATAATTGCCTGTGGTCTGTAAAGATAATTCTGAGCCAAGCTGGTAGTTCTTGGCCTATCGCGATATTGTTTTGGAAAGTTTGAAGTGCTTGGTTCTTGGGCTTCATGTTGCTCCAGACCCGACTCGTACGTACCAGCCTCTTGAAGTAAATCTGCCGTCTCCTGAAAAATCTCAAGTTCTTTGTTGAGATAGAATGAAGTAATTTTTTCTAATTCTGCGTCCAGAGATTTTTTGAAGATTTCGTCGGGTTCCTCTAGTGATATCAACAGGGCATGTTCAACATCATCAGAATTCTGTTTGTAAAGAGATTTCTCGAGCTGATAAATTCTAGGATGAGTCAGTTTTTAGGGAGGTTTAGGTTGGCTGGATTAAATACAGCTTCTTAAGGTTACTGTAAGCTATATAGTGGTTTCCCCAGTCTGGAACTGCATTGAATTGAATACTGTGAGAAAACTTCATATCTCCGTCTTCGATAGGATGATTGAATCTTTCTGCAAGATTCAATGCCTCATTAGAATCAAATCTAACGTTTTCTTTCCGTAGACGGATATCGTTGTAGCTCGTGAGCTCATACTCCTGGTGAACTGTTGACGAAGGTTTACAGAGTGCAAAATCTTTGGTTGGTGACTTGGGGAACACGAAAGTCTGAACTAATTTATCTTTGCTAGTGGACCGTGAGTCTACTTATCTTCTAGGTTAATGCTAATGGGGAGGGGGGATCCGTGACAAGGATGAATGGCAGGTCGGAAAGAGAGTAGTGTTTAGCTCTGCGCTTACAATTTTTGTGACTTGGCAGCGAGGGCGGATGTGTTTAGTGTCATGCGAGTTACGCTATCGTTCTTCTACGTGCGATGATCGTTGATAGGAAGAAGATTAAGAGATGCTTCACTTAATATGTGATCGAGTAATAGTATCGTCTCGTGCTGTGAAGCTCTCAATGAGGTTGACAAAATAACTAATTACAACTTGTGTTTTGGAAGCATTGTTTATCTATAGCTTTGGATTCAAAATAAAAATAGAGTTTGCAAGCTGTCCACTACGACCCAAATTTTGAATGGATAGGAATCACATTAAGTTTCTATGTATGGTATCGACGTGCCATCGGCCCGTGTCTTTGCTATTTCCAACCATTGCTGTAGAATGCCTCTTTGTATTGGGCTTTATCTGACTCAAACAAAAATTATTCGTGAAGTTTAAATCTACTGATAGCTCGGCTTGAACAGTTAATAGTTTCTTCCTAGCGTAACTAGCAGAATTTGATAGTAGCTTCACTCTTAAGTTGATGCTGAGTTTTGCTTGCCTAATAAATAACCAGATGTATACTCAATGAAATATTTGTCCTCGTATTCATCAATTCGCTTGGTATTTTTGCTTGATAGGTTGTAGTAATTCTCATTTGAAGTCCCTTGTAATCGTGTGGATTAGCTTAGCCTAAACTACAGCTACCTGACGGACCGGCGCCTCCGAGGACCCTACTTGTTCTATGCAGCACATACCTTCCCATTTAGAACCTTATTGTAAATAACACTGCAGGTCAACGAGACCGCTGGCTGGGATACTTGACATTCACATAGTAGAAAAAATAATCCATGTATTTTGGAAAGAATTGGGAAGAGGTTGGACTGTAGAGAAGTTAATGTACTGCGCGGCTGAAATGTCAGATATTTCCTGTCCCATCAATATCTCTCGCATTACAGAGCGATCATGTGATCGGTTCAGCCATGCACGAGCTGTACCCCAACCAACTTCATGTAGATTTTTATTACTTCATTTTATTGTCTTATATGAGTCTATGAATATGTAGGACATGTAGGTCCTCTCTGCGTATAGGTCAAGGATACTATGCCAGTATTATATCCCCTAACCTCACGTAGAATTTGGCCTTGGCCCAGGGATAACATGCTGGGCTTGGTGTGTGTGGGACTGTTGCTTTTTGTTTTTTGTATATATTTATTGTCCTATATGAGTCTATGACTATGTAAGAACATGCAAGTCTTTTCTGACTACAGGCCGGGAGTATCTGTGCCTCGGGTAGTGTACTCCCTCCTTCACGACTTGTTTCCAGCAGCGCCAGGCTTGGTAAAAAGCGCTGGGATGTCGGGTAGTTCGTATACACTGAGCTGGTCAAAATGAGACCCTACGGCTACATTGTGAGCTAGCAAGATGTTGTGTTAAAAACATGCAGACAAGCTTCACACAAGAGAGCGAAGACCGACGTTGCTCGCTACACGAGAAGGACAGCGTAAATTACCTTCAACTGAGTAAATGCGACAAGAATTCGATCAGACCTTTGGCTCCTCGGGTTTACGGAACCGAGATCTGGGTCTCTTATGCCGATCCTTACAAGGTCTGGCTGAGAAACGAGGGTTAATGCCACAAAGAGTTAGAGGAAGCCGCTAAAGGTGACGAGTAATATTTGTAGAGCAATTATAGATTTTTCGAACTGCACGATTTAAGTGCATGGGTTGATTGTGCTACTTGGGTCTGTGACGACCTAACACATTGGGGTACTCTCTCATCCAGGCCACACCTTATGCAGTCCTCCTATCCTCCTCTGTTCCGAAAATAATTCATTAGAAGTGGTACCCGCGACGGATATCAACTTAGTCAAGAGTTTACATGTGCAATTCAGCCACCATTCCCACGGAACCTAGTTTATCCGTGTTACAGGCATCTGTTTGGGGCTCTTCTAACACCCAATTATAGTTTACAGCTATCTCTTAGCCTGGGGTTGGATGGTGCAGTGGTGCATCATTCGGGCCGTTCTCCCAAGTAAATTTTGGGTACATTGGACACTAACCCTGTCTGTGGCAGGAGAAGGTTAATCCGAACCCAAACCTCCACCCAAAACACCACACAAATCACGCTAACTCGCGATGACATTGTGTTTGGGATGTTGTAATCACACTCGGTTGACCGGAAGTTTCTCCCGCTTTTCCCTGTGATGGGTATGCACGGAAGAGGTTATACGCCGTAAGGGTTAAACTTAGGTGGTATCTGCAAATGAAATCTGAGTGTGAGTATCCTAGACGTCAAATTAAGTCATCCTACTTAAAAGACATATCTTCCCACATGATCTGCATGGGCCTCAAGGCGCCAAATCAGGACAATAGAAAATTTTACTTATTTATATCTAGGTCTGTAACCAACCGAAATATCTACTTGGAGATCGGGTGAATTGGTCGAATGAGTTGGTGGCTTTCTGCGAACCTACGAGTTCAGGCAGAAGGGCACAGAGAACATTGAGTTTGAATAAAAAAACCCAGTATCATAGTAAAGACCCAAAAACCTGAAATTATGTCCACTAGGATCATGTTATTCTTATTCATACACTCTGATCAGGCCTCCGTTACGTCGATATTTGAAAGCTATGCAAAAACAAAATTTGCTATTCCATAGTTATGCGCCAGCGTTTAATACATCTTTCGGTCTCAACGACAACATATGATTGAAGACAGTATGAGTAAGAGCCTTCTACCTATGGAACTTAGTCACGAGATGAAAGTGAGTATTATTAAGCCGATTAAGTGGTAAAGGTTGGAATTTAATCTCAACATCAGAGGAATATTTTCTTCCATTAGACATAGCCTTTGTTGTAGGAAATCGGTAAGAATTTTGGTTAATGTGTTTTCCACGCCACGGCACCAAGAGTAAAGCGTGGAATAAATGTTAAGTTTTCCGGTTAAATTATGAAGGTATGGTATGAGGGGAACTTTGGCTTCTGAATGTCCTTTTTTTTGGTAATTTTTAGCTTACACGTTGCCCTTTTTCAGTGTATGACCAAACTGAACAATTGGGTCCTTTCTACCTACAGGTCAAGGACATCTACACCCCGAGTAGTACCTTATTTCTAACAGCCAAACATCTCATGTATCTTTATTCGGATTAATACTTAAGGAGACTCTGTTCCTCACAAGTTCTTTTACTACCAACGAAGCGACGTCTACCCGTGGATGTTAGGCAAGCGGAGGAATTCAGAAACTGACGGATGCGGGGCTCCCATCAAACCGAAATCAGGACCAAATCCCAGGACACAACCTAATTTTGAAACACACCGTAGCGTATTGAGAACCAAGGCCCTCCTGGCTAGCCTTGGACTTGATCTCGGCTCTGCAAACTCTACGGTGATGGAGCTTGAGGTACGAACGGGACCCTACCTCCCTGTTGATGCGTGGGCTGGGAAATACAACTTCGGAATTGAAAATAAAGTTAGCCGTGCTTGTGCATTGGAATGACGCCTCCGCAATAATTGAAGATTTCCTGGAATTATTAGACCTACGCGATTAATAATATGACAAGTTTGTCTGCTGCGGGGCTGCGATAAAGGTCGGCCAAGAGGATCGAAAACCCTGCACCTGTCAGTGGTGTTCCCTACTAAGCTTCAGCACTCACTAGAGCATCTGCAGAGCCAGAATTAAGTTACACATTCGTCCTCACTTTGATGAAGATTCCCAATTGCTCCTGCGGTGCGTGTCGTCTTCGTCTCCAAGCTGACCTCCCTGACATCATTACCATTAAGCTAACCACCATCAGATCAAATGGCAGGATCAAAGCTCTACTCATCGTCCATATTTCTTTGTCATAGAGGAGAAACCATTCAATGGGTTTCCTGAGATTATCTAGCTCCTGATATAGTGCTAGTGGATTAGATCAAGACGACATCTTTTGTTTCGGTGAAAGGAAAATTTAAATGATTATACGCACCTTGTGTAGCTGAGGCTACATTTCTCCAGATAAATTTTGCTGCGCACGCAGTCTCCACTGTCACCATTTTTTGGTAGGGGGATTTGTGAAAAGAAGGCTTAATCTTAAGCCCAGTTTCTGAGCCAATTGGCTGTCCATCATGGTCAATCATACCAGAGATTTCTCTCGTAATAAAAGAGGAAAGGAGCACTGTACAGGGTGGGACCTGGTTCAGATAACAGCCCAGCATACTGGGTGATCATTGACTCGAGTAGCACAACAAAAATCAAATCAGCCAAGGGCCTTTCGAACACGATCATTGCTACTGCTCATTATGCATTTGAGCCAATTTTTGTGTTTATAGAGATATATGCGATCAGTCCGCCGAAAATCTTTCAGATTGATAGTTCTGACAGCATAATTAAGTTCTCTGATCTGAGAAACCGTGAAATTTATCTTCACAAGAATAGCAGTCTAGTGGGAAATTTGTATGCTTGCAACATCGACGGATTAGGCTCGGAAGGATTAATAACTTTGAAGCTAAATGCCCTCATTTAGAATCTTCATGGTATGACATTAGCTGCCTAAAAGTATATTTTTTCCACTTTATCACATCGTACTCATCGGCTTAAAAACTATTGCCTTTGCATTCATAATTACAATTCTGTATTTGTTACCGATTCCAGCCATCGACATACCCTCTGTAAACTTCAGAATTCCCACCGTCCTTCAGGATGCGTTCATTCTTATCTAGTGTGGTCTCCAAAGCTATCTGCCTTGTGGTCATCTCTCCGTTAGTTGCAAAAGGTCAAGGTTTTGAGTGCACTGCTGCCTCATTTCCCGATGAAGACCTCGAAACCACACGCCAGATTGCGTGCACCAGCTTGGATATTAGTACCGCCCAACTGATAGACCCCATTATATCTGGGGTCAAAATTGAGTCTCTTTACCAGTGGAATCTTACCGAATCCTTGGTTCCAGAGGAAATTAGGAGCAAGTACACATGAATTCCCGAAATTATCTTGCCACTTGACCCAAAGTTAACCAATAATCCCCTCAGATGAACACCACGCTCTAATGCATCTGAATCACGAATGCAAAATCACCGCTATCACCATGTCAAACAAAGATAACGTTACTGAAATTTGCCACAGGTACAGGGCTCCTCGTGAGATTCTTCTCCCGAACGTCACCACTTGACTTTAGATGTTCCCTAAGATACGCTTGATACTTATACAGCGAAATTCTGCTCGACTTCCGTCAAATGACACTGCTATATCCCTCTTCGCACGAATGTTATCTGTCTTTGTTCTGTCGGCCAACTGACTAAAGTAAGGTTGTAGGGAAATATAGTAAGAACCAATGCCTATTTCATTGATTCATATGCTGATTTGAATATTGGTCAATCTTCCAATTGATCTTTTGATCAATGTAGCTACTTGTCTATATTTTGTTCAAAGTGCAGTTAATTTTGGCAAAAATAGGAAAATAAAGCCAGTACGTGGATGGAATTAGGATGCCCACTCTGCCTGTTTGATGAAGAAAATGCATTCAACGGGTAACAATCCATAGTCCTCCAAATAGCTACTCATGATTCAACAAATTTAACGCAATTATTCCATGAAAAACTGGTATATCCCTGTTTGAAAACACAAATTTGGTAGTTCACAGAAAAAACCGTAACGTGTGAATTGATTAGTAATGGCTTCCAACTCTCTTTTTGATCTGTGAAAAAGTAGGATACACACTAAGCACCTGTCTGCCCTGTTTTCTACGAACCTTGGAGCGAAGTATTCTCCCACAGTCGCATTCAGTCCAAATTAGCAACACCAAAGGAGTTGACCCATCAAGCAATGATCCAAGAAACTTAGCCAAATCAATCTCTCGCTCCCATCGAGATCAATTCATACCTAAGCCTCTACAAGTTTACAAGTACGACCTAGAACATCCTCTTTCCAATGACCACCTTTCTCAACGGCTATTCTCTGGCCTCAGTTAACCACTGTTGAATGACCTAATGACTTCATGACCTTTCATATATTACCTTAGAAATACTGACTAATTATGTTGATGAGTAATGAGTTACCTGTGTAGGAATGGCGTCAGGAGAGAGGGGCAACTGCTGTATATACGTGTTTCGTTTTGTTGGAGAGACAAGAATCACGGAACATATTAACCACCAATTGTTATTACTGCTATAGAAAGCGTGTGATGTAAATACCACCCGAATATTCCGTCAACCACCAAATACACGCCCTCGCCGATATTTATATCCGGTGGAGGAAACAAAGCGTGACGCACAAATCTATGAGACAGTTCTTTGGGAGGGACGTGAGATAGATCAGGACAAGTTCCCCAGATGATGCAAAGAAAGGATATAACATCGATGGGTGTGAAATCCTGAATTTTGGCAAGGAGTTTTACGAATTGAGCTTTGTGCGCACCAAGACTTTGCTTGCGAGAATGTAGCTGACACTATAAACACAAGCTAACGATAGACGTAGCTGTGATCCGCCTCCTAAAAAAAAAAAAAAAAAAAAAAAGACCCGCCTCCTGGTGGTGATCTTCGGTATAGTTTGAGTAGACTGAGCAATTACTCCACTCTGGAAGGAGACACAAAACATCACATTTAGTGGGGAGAAAAGTCGATGAATGATGTAAGCATGTATAAGTTGTTGAGCGGATTGGTTTGCAAAAGCTTGTGGCTGTTAGGCACAGATTGTATCACTTGGTGAAGCGAGTGGGAAAGTAAAGGAGTCTGTAAATCTGTCGTGGAGAGTTGTTAATTACTCCCACTAGGACACAGAGTGCTATATAAACTATATTTTGTAATCATAAAATCTAGTGGTTGGTATTTACGTCAAAGCGCATTAATACTAACCTCACAATTAATGGGAGATTAGTGACGTGTATTCTACACATCCCTGTCTTTACCATAATTGGAAGCACCAATTTCAACATAAGTAACTCGGGGCTTTTGAAACTTTCCCCTGGGTGGGTATTGACGGATAAGAGCCGACTTGGGATGAAGAAAAAGCCACCATAACTTTGCAGTGTTACTTGCAAACGAAATCCAAGGCATGAATGCTCTGCTGAAAAATAAAGTCATTTTTTCCTCACTTAATCTAATATCATTTCATAACTTGATAGCTGCAAGCACCATTGAAATCTGACATAAGAAAGATCGTCGAAACCCCAAATTTGGGCTTGTATTTTGGCGAGGAAATCGCAATAAAACAGTTTATATTCAGATTCTCTGCCGACTGAGATACGGGAACAAGGGCTCGGATATCAACCGCATACAGTGAACCAGTCATGATGGGTTAATTTTCCTCTGGAACCGACAAAGGCAAATCATTCACCTTTCTGTGGTGCTGTTGTAGTCGCTATATGTGCTCTGCATGTCTGGGATAGGCAAGAAGGATTGCATCCGAATCGAAGCCTAAAAAAAACACAAGCATATCCACGATCGACAGCTTCCGGTCATTATCAGTCACCTTTCCCACTCGAGTCCTCCAACTCAGACCTACCACAAACTAGCTCGCCTCAATAACCGATCATGGAGTTGTTTCAGTAATAAACGGTAGCTTGCCTCATTGTTTACCTACCATCACTAACAGTAAAACTACAACGCAACGCATACCCGCATAGACGGATTAAGTCAAAATGTACAAAGCTTGGGGTCTAGATTATGGGAGACTGCCGCTCTATTGGGTCCCTACAACATGGGGTAGATCAGGTGACTAGTAGGTGAAGTAATATAGGGAAAAAATTTCCGTGAACATGCTGGGACTGATACTTTTGAGGTTTTTTCGATTATGAAATGCTTGTGGGCGCCAAGATTTTGGTAAGGGATAATTTTCCAACAAGACTTCTATTGTTGATGACTCGTACTGGCAGCATAAGTTCTCCGAAGCCACAACCGACGTCGACATGCATCGGATGGAACGTTGGGCAAAGCCACGGCCCACTGCTGCTGCTCCACCACTCCAAAATTCCAAAGGTTATGTATCGGACCCAGAAAAGCGAGCACTTCTTTTGCGTGACCTTCTTTTCTGGCGATTCACCAGCCAAAACAATATCGACGCTAGTCACTTAGAGCCCGGCCGCGGAAACCTTCCATGGGTCTCGAGCGTCACTGATGAAGAAGCCAAGTGGGTCACAACAGCCTGCCAAAACAAAGCCCCTGGATCAGACATAATTTCCGTCCGGCTTCTTAGGATAGCTTGGCCATCAATTGGCCACACAGTGAGAGCTTTTTTGAAGGCTCACTGCGACTAAATCACTTTCCAAAAGCATTCAAGCTATCGGAAGTAATCCTTCTCCCCAAACCCGGCTATGATCTGAGCACAGCTAACGAATGGAGGCCCATCGCTCTACTCTCCTCACTGGGCAAAAGTCTCAAGACACTGGTTGCAAGGCGAATGGCTCACACCGCCCTCTCTTAAAAGGCAGTCCCGCAGCATCTTTTTGGAGCACTCTCTGGCAGGTCTGCTAACAACCTCGTCTCATATGTCATCCACGATGTGGCACATGCAATGAAAAGACAGTAGAAAGCGGTTCTTGTCACTTTTGACGTGCAGGGGGCTTTCGACGCTGTACTTCACGGGCGGCAGCTCCTAAGGATGAAGGGAATGGGCTGGCCTGATGCATCAATCTGCTGGATAAAATCCTTTCTCCAAGGACGATCGGCTCACGTGAAGCACGAGGACAGAGTAACAGATCCGGTATTCCTCGAATTCGGGATCCCACAATGATCGCCTCTCTCTCCAATACTTTTCCTCCTGGACATGGTTGAAGTTGTAGTAGGCAGTAGTTGGAGATTTGGCTATGCAGATGAAATTGCTATCCTCGGCATCGGCTCAACTCCAAACGACGCTACTGTAGTTGTCCAGTGAGAGGTTGATGCAGCTCTCAGGTGGGCTGCAAATAATGCCGTCTCTTTTGACCAAGATAAGGCCGAAGTAGTTTACTTTCTCCGCCCTAGAGCCAAGGGATACGAACTTCCGCCCACAAGGGTAGATACTTGCGACGTACAAGCATCTGATGATGCCGGTGGCTCGGAGTGTACCTGGACCGTGGCCTCACCTTCGAAAACTACGTCGCTAAGTGGACCTGCAGGGCAATGCGGCTGGTACAAAACTTCCGACGACTCACTCGGTGCACCCAGGGACCAAGGCCCAACTTAATAACCACAGCCATTCGCACGGTAGTTCTACCAATCGCGATGCATGCAGCTGAATTCTGGTGCCCTGGGCCAACCAGGGAAACCTATCGGGGTGTTGCGCGAAATTTCTATAAGAGACAGTGCAAAGCCATCGACCAAGCTTCTGTACTCTGAATCTGCGCTGCTCTACCAACCTGGCGTACTATGCCGATCTCGGCACTGAGAAGAGAGACTGGCATTCTATCTGCACACATTCTGCTCGAGGAACGCAGGCTCAAGACCGGCGAACGAACCCGAAGAATGGATGATTACCACCCGCTTCGACTCCGGGCCACGGAAAGCACTGACAGCGCTCGCCACCGACTCGGACTAAAGACATGCAACAAAACCAGACTTGGTCTGGATAGAGTTCATGATTCAAAATTCCTGAGGATGTACAGACTTCTGCCAGAGGCGGAACTACTCCAACCTCTCCGACTCCCGTTACCCCCTCCCCCAAAACCCTGCTGGATAAGCAAGAAAGAAGCGGCCAAGTTTATAAGAGAGTGCCTACCTACCCTCCCACCCGACTGTCTCTGCGTTTACAGCGATGGTTCAGGGGCTTCAACCGACAAGATATCATGGGCCTTTGTGACCTTTGTCAGTGGTACTGGCACGGTAATTGAACAAAGCGGGTCAGGCAAGATTATAAATGTGGAGGTCTACGACGCAGAGGTTCATGGAGCTCTGGCTGCTCTTGAAGCAGTCACTATTAAGAAGCGAGATCATGGTCTTAGCGCCATCTACATCCTGCTCGACAAGTCCGCGGCAGTCCAGGCCCTACTAACGGGAAAAATAGTCTTATCAAACTGGAGGATCTCAAAGTTCTGCAAAATTGCCGCTAGAGCAGCCGTACCTGTTAAAGTAGGATGAATCCCGGGCCACGCAGGGCTAGTAGGAAATGAAATGGCTGATGAGCTCGCTCGAAGAGAGCTTGAATCGTTGGAAAACACCCGGACGATTCATGGTGTGATGACCCTCGCTTCATCTGGAC